AGGCATATAATTTAAGCATTACATTTAAGTAATAAAAATGAATTTTTAATATTCAATTTGGTTTTATGTATTTGTTTGACATTTTAACTTCACTAATTCACTAACGTTAATTGTGATTTAAGTAAGCACAAATATGCAAAAAGTAAGCATCTAAAGTTGCAATCGAGAACAAGTTAAAATGCTCAACTTATTATTTTTCATCACATAATTTAGTGCTATTATGCATAATAGCATTTTCAATTACTTGAAAATTTAGGATTCTAGTAAGTATGTAAATGAAATGCTAGTAAATGTAAATTGCATGCAGTCATTCTTTCAAACTTTAAAGAATTAGTAGTCTTCAGGAACACTGGGAGATCTCTTGTGGCTTAGGATTAATGAATACATTGGCTTTCATCAATGCAATTAATCTAAAATTATTTTATGACTTCTGTGTTTGAATCAAATTTCTTGAGAAAATTAAACGGATTTGTTGAATCAAAGAAACTTAGACTATAACCGAAGAGTGATACGAATCTGTCCAAGACAAGACTCTATTTGCAGTGCTTCACTTTGATTCACGAAGCAATTCCAATTACTAAAATTTTTTAACAATTGCAGGATTCAAACTAATTTCTACTCACAAACGAGGCAGATTAAGCTTGCCTCAGCCTGAGAATCTGTGTCATTCATGCTTGCACTCACATCAGGTGTCCAGCAGGTGTATGCCAGGTGTCACTGCAGCCACATTTTACTAATTCGCACATTTTCGCTTCTCTTTATTCTACAAAATATTTTAAAGACAATCAAAGAAATTAATTAAAATGACGACAAGAATTAACAACAAGAAAAAACATTAATAACAGAAACCCGTAACAAACAATCAGTTTCATTAGAGAATTCAGATTACAGCAGAGTGAGATAAAAAAAAAAAACTTCACAACTAATTATTTTATACACTAAAAATGTATGCAGCGGAGATCACGTAAATGGGTAGCATGCAAACTTTAAAAGATAATATGCAAAACTTTGTCTACATTTAAACTGTGTCATATCAGCTAATTCATCTGCATGTAATTAATGAATAGCTAAAACATTTAAAAGGTTAAAATTAGTTCACAATGAAAATGACTCAGCAACGTTGATAACAGTATTAAATTAATAATCTGTAACTGGAATGATCAGATCAGAAACTGATCAAAACATGTCTACAAAATAAAAGGATTATTAAGAGTATTAGATAATACTCATTACAATTTAGTAATAATATAATACAAAAATTAATTATAAAGTCTAAATTTACAACTAGATAATCTGAAACAGCTTTATTCGATGGCATTCACAGGCGTAGACGTACGGTTTGCAGTGCCCATCTTCGTGAACAACATAGATAAGTTGGCAATTGTTTTCGAATTCTGTTGCTTGTATGATCCGCTTGCTGATCTCACAGTCATGTTTTCATCGCTATCTGATAAGAGTTGCTGAAAATAGATTGCTAGTAAATTGACGACAATATACAAATATAAACGATAACAAATACTCATAACTTACTAAAAAATATGAGAATAGAAGAAGTGTAATTAAATTTGAATGGATGGCAATTTACTTCCTGCACTCAAGAAGATAAATGGTTTACAAAATAAACTTTACACAAAGTTTAATTCGAAGTAGACATTTCAGTAAGAATGCAATTGTATGTATAATAATAGATGCAAAATTAAAATCACCTGTAAATGTGCAATGTAGTCAATAGTATATTGCATGAATTCAAGTAGCGTAGTAGCGGAATTAGCATTAGGTACCATTTTACGCAAGACATTCAAAATCTCATATTGTTGACGCTGCTTACGTGATAATTTTCTGATTCGTCCTGAACGAATTTGTACATTACTGTCGACTTCAGAAGCACCAGATTCAGAAGATCCATTAGAGGATGAAGGTGACGAAAGCAGACGCATTTCACGAAATACTTATGTGATTAGTATAAAATACCAAGTATGTCACTAGGAGCTATAGATAGAGCACGTAGTACAAATGACAATGAGTATTGCTATGCAAATGCATTTATCGTTGATTCTAAATAAAAGGAGGAGCTGAAAATATATTAAAGAGGTTGAACAAATACAAGTCACGCCTATAATCGTATATTGTGCAAATAATAGGTGGAGTCAAAAATATATTAAATAGGTGGAGTAAATATAAAACACGCCTATAATGGTATATTATGGTATAGAGTTAAACAGCTGGCGCATACATACATTACATCTATCTCGCACCTGTTTTCCCCTTTTGCACACATAGCAGAATGAGCGCAACTTTTCCCAGGCTTTAATTACGTATGCAAATGTGTTTTGCATCTTATTTTTGCATGCATAATTTTACGCTGACGCTTAATATCAGCCGCTAAAGACGTAGACGTCTATTATTAGTGTCTTCAATTAAAGTATCTTTGACGTATTAGAATATAAGAAATTACTACATTTATGTATTATTTTATGATTACTACTATTAGTTACCTAAAATTGCACATATATATATATATATATGATGTAATTTGAGTTTAAAAAGTATAAT